GGACACTTCCGAGGCTGTAGGAGTTTCCATTTTCGCAGTTCATCATTCTGCTGAAGGTCGGTCCTCCGAATTAGGGGTAGCAGATGGCCACATACTGATACTTCATTGTCCTGACTACCTGACACCGTTCGAATGCAATATTTCACAATGCTGCTAAGTTCACAAAGGAAAACACCATTCGGAATTCGATGAAATAGGCATACAGTGAACGTTTGAGAAGCGTGACCTTTTATTGGAGGAAAACCCGCTTTCGTCAGGTACTTGTCCTTCGCTGAGAAACCGATTCATAAAGAGGATTAAAAACTATAGAACCTCCAAATAATAAGGTTACACCAAAAAAATCGTCACATGGTTTATTTTAAAGCAGAAGAAATAAGGTGTTTTAAACGGATGGAAACACTTCACTATCAAAGACTGGACGGAGTAAATCATTCAGTAACTTGAGGGTGGCGGTAGCACATACCTTGCAAAGATGCCATCTTTATCAGAGAATGAGCTATTTCCCCTCAAGAGGAATTTCGGTAAGTTCTTTCGTCGGAGGGCTACAGTCAGCATCGTATGACGAAGTAGGGGATCAAATGGTGAGTAGAGATGCATGCTGATTCGTGTAATAAAGCTGTTTGAAATGATCGAACAATCGGACAGGTTTCTGGATTTCCATCGGTCCCAGCAGACTAGATCGCTTCGTGTTGGTAGCGCGTTCGCTTTCTTGGCCTGGCTCGACAACCTCATAATACTCTCCAAGATCTAATTCATCTAGCGACGCCGCATAGCTCCTAGGTGGCTAGTAGTAGCATCATGAATCGTAAACCTGCACGCGACCATTGTGTAATGACACTGCCGAGCACCACAAGAGCAGTTACCAATTTTTCGCGAGTGCCACCAGATGGACACTGTAGAAAGGCAGTGCAGCAATTCTGAAAAGGACTAGTTTTCAAACCAGTTGTCACACTGGTATCAGCTACTCAGAGTGGATAATAAACCCCGAAGCACGAGGTTTGCCTAGATCTTACTGGGATGTACACCGTCTGGAAAGTTGTGCTATCATTTGAGCATAGAATTTACGTTCTTTAGGGTGTTGGAAAAGGATGTTAGTGACACACGACCGACAAAAGTCAGCATAGTTAATAAGCCTACCACCATTTTCAAATTTTCGTACTGCTTCGAAACCGTAACTTCCAAAAATCTGGCGAGAGATATCACAAAACCGAATGCAAGCACTCCAGTCACCAGTCGCGTCTCGGTATTTTGCCAAAACCTGTTTGGAATGTGTCGGTAAACTCGTCCTTGATGTGCTAGTCTCGACCGGGTGTAAGTGACTACACGGCTACGAATTTGACGCTGAATGGTAAGCTTTCAAACCCTGCCACTACAATTGTCCACCTGGTCGGTTTTAATGACAGCGCATTCAAATTCCGTCTATTGAGAGAAAAGAACATATCACTTTGACCAGAACCTTTGCGTGACAGAAACAGCAGGAACATTGTTCCTGGAACTTATATTCGACAGAGCAGTACTCAAGTACCTGGATCTCAGAAAAACAAGTTATGTCAACTAAATGGTACCTGCTTCGCACTCATAAAGTGCAGTCATGCTGCAGAAAGTAGTAGTAGAATGAGGTGATCAGGTAAGGTAAGGTGGATGGGCTAATTTACCGCACACCAACAGCATTGTTTTCCGTGCCTTAACCGGGTTGGGAGAAACCTAAAGGTGGACACAGCGACGTGGCAACAGGGGGTGGCGTTATGAAGACTATGGGAGCAGTTCCCCTTCCAGGACGGGGCCAACATGACCTTGTGCTTGGTTGAAGACCTGAAAGTTATGGTGGTCGTGATTCTGTAGGTGATACTCTGATAATCCAAAGTTCATCCGTGAATACCGGCGAATTATATCATTAGTTGTCTGGTGGGCGTCGTAGTAAAGATGTCAAAATATTATACAAAAAGTAACTCTTCCTTCGCATGGACGATCCGAAAGTATCGGCTGCACACAAAACGCACGTCGAAATAAAGATTATAGCCTATTTTTGTGTTTCAAATGCTTCTTCTAATACATATCAATTCTACACCTCTGGATTTCGGACACGATTCCCCAACCAACAGTAATGTTTTTCTTAAAGGAAACTACTCACAAGGTTGCTGAAAACTATTCGACAGCCCACGACCGGTTTCGCCCTTCTTGAGGCTCATCAGGTAGGCGAAGTCCCCGAGTTTCCGTCAATCTTATGATCTACTTGAACCTAAGCCTAATCAATCGCTTCACACGACCGCGTTGCGGTTTTCTTCGTTCATTCCTCCGAAACCGAAAATATCAGAAAAGTGCATACGAGTTCATCACGGCGATACATTTTCAAATGGCTCAGGCGAACTCCACTTTCCACGCTCGGTCATTCGGTGTTTCTGGGACCACGACTAGTAGTACCCACTGTGCAAGGAGAGCCCGAAGGTCGTCGACATCTTTTTGGATTAGATTCCTGTGAGGTACGAGTACTTTTCCAAAAGTCCTAATTTCTCTGAACAACAAATCCCAGACCCTTCTTTATGGTCCTGTGAAATTGTCAATATTAGTGAGGAGAAATCAACACGTCGGACGCATAACACATGAAAGGAAGCCTTCAATACCCCAGTTAGATAGCCTCTGCAAGTTACACTATAGCAGGGAGCGCTCTCCTTACCCGAAGATGCACCGACCGCTCCATAACCTTGAGTATATGAAGCAGTTAGCTCCCGGTTCCACCGGACACCAGCTTTCGCAAGGGGATACCATCATAAACTCTACCTGCTTTGGAGAGATTCAGGTAGATGACACAAGTATCGGACCCTTGATCAACTTCAACAGTCCGGTCCCGTTGCGCACGCAACCGTTTCGATATGCAGCGATGCTTCATTGGTAAGCTCAGTTGGATGTCAGAGAAGGGGCTATGATATCCCATATGTGCGATTAGACCGTCGGTGATCGTGAATACTATAGCCTCGTATAGGACCAGGGGACATATGGGTCGATAGTTTGGGGGATCAAACCGAAACCCTCTTTTCTGGATAGATCAGACTACTCCCTGTTTCCACATCGTTGACAACTTCCTTAATCGAGTGAGTTTTGAATGAACAAAGGTGGCTAGAATAGTTGTTCAACTAGATGTAAAAACTTTTATGGCAAATGGGATCGACGGTAGATCTACTTGTTTCGATTGTTTGAAGCATTTTCATTTTCCCGGTGTAAAGTGGTTCTGACTGAGAGCAATGTGAAGTGTCCGAAGGGAGTCATCCAACGTACATCAGATGATACCGTTGCACACTGCAACCCAAAGGCGTTATAATAGCTGAGTGTTGCTGAGCTTTCTAGCTGTTAGGAAACGAGGAATTCCAAGGTGTACCGTCAATCCCTACCAATACGCACATACATTAACTCAAGTCGGGCAAGGAATTGCGTGGTTGCTCTCCTGATAATAATGGTTGTCCCGTTTCGAAAAAAAACAGTCACTGCACAAGCATGTGCTTTGTGTACCTCATCACGGCGGGCCTAAAACCAAGATATCATTGTGGCTGCCGGGAATACGAAGAGTTAATGCATTTGGGTAGTCAACTTGGAATGGACTCGGTGCATACGGACAACGGAAAACGACCGCAGACTGCTTTTATGCGGTATCAACCCCCGAAGTAAACGTCATCTGACCATTCGGTGCATCTAAGCCGTCATCCTCAATGCATGGCTCCCGACCGAATCTCCCCAACGATGAGTCCACTGACACTAGGATACACGCATCACCTGCATCAGCCGCCGCTATCTACTCACCGCCCAAAATCACGACAGCCATAACGAATGTCAGGCAAGTACGTGTTTTTGCAGCTGATGATGAAATAGGCATCAGTTTATGGTAACTCGGATCACTAACGCTCGTTTTGGAACACTTGTGGATCCCGACCATGCACTAGTGGATCGTTTCTCTCTTCATTTTGCAGGGCCGCGTACAACCTCATTATCAACTGATGTTAATAGATTCCGAAATTAAAGGAACGTATCAGAAGCATAGTCTGGACTATTACAACTATTCTGTCGTCCGATATCAATTCTTACTGGAACAAGATAGAATTCTTGCAAGATAATGGCACTACCACGCCCCCTCAAACACTTGATATCAGACAGCACAGTGTTGTTTGGATTTCGGTGGGATGAATGCTCCAGCCGGTCAGGGACGAAATTCAGCCTGACGAATTTTCAGAGACCAAGGGACCTGGTTAGCACGAAAAGCCTAGAGAGTAGAAGTTCAGAAAGCCGGGAGTGGCCGAAGAGTATTTTTAATGATCTAGGTCTCCGGAAACCTCCAGTGTGCGAGACGACCAAGGATCGGTGGTGCAAAACTGCATAAGTTCTCTCAAACCTCTCAGCGGTCCAAATGACCACCTACCGGCATTGCTCAACGGCAGGCATGAAGTCTTCGATCCGTATATATGATCTATTCGCTTCCATCTGGGAAATCATTATCACTGTTTTTACCGTAAAGTGCTGCTTGATTCTCCATCTGGGAAAATGGAACCTTCCACAAAAGACTAGAGAATAACAGGGAATGCGTTCATTCTTAAGAGGCTCGTATTGAGACTAGGTATAGCTTGTTTTTTACCGCTCTACAGTGGCCCGTGAGCAGCTAACGGACTCCGGCCTGGTAGGGGTTGCATTGAACAAGTCTCCGCACTCAGTTACGTAATAAGAAAAGCCGGGACTACCAGTGGGTGCCGTGTCCCAATGTTTTTGAATGAATTCCCACTCGAAGCGGTCACGTCCCCGCCTTGAGACAATGGGTTAGAAAAGTGTTTCAGTCATGATTCAACTGCCATTGCTGCGCGATCTAGTGGTAGAAACTAGTAAAAATTATATTGCTCAGAAAATTCAAACTACTGTGACGGTAAGGCATCGGGCCACATTCGTGGGTGGAACCGCCGAAAAAAGTGCAGACACCGAGACAAAAAACACTATCTGATGTAAAAACTTTTGCTTTTACTAACCTTGGAATGGAAGCGTCCTTCCCCTCAACAAACGAAGCGGAACAAACGGAGTCCCAGGAAGCCTCTGTGCCTAAATGTTACGAAAATTACGAAACTACTACGAAGACCTTCAAGACGATCCACACTCCTATCATCCCTTGCAGATGGCATGTGTCTCGGATCGTCTCCAACAATGTCATTTGTAATTCCAACAAGACCAGCAGACGAATTATCGGTGGGACTTCTCGTTGATGAACGCTGGGAACTGAAAGTGCAATCGGACAATTTCCTAATCCATTGGGGGCCGAATTTCAGAGTCTCAGGTTGCGCAGCCATTTGAAGTACGTACAGAGTATTGCTGGAGTTAGTTCTGGCTACAATACCTATCTAAATGACCCAAACTTGGTTGACAAAGAAGGCGACGAGCCAGCTGTGTCTAGAACGATCAAATCTCCCTCCAGAATACAGTGTCGGCCATTAATACCCGGTGGTGTTCAGGTTGGGTTGCCCTTCGAGCAATGACGTGATAGATTCAACAACAGCGTATACATTGGCAACAGGATATAGCCCCGCAGATAAGGGCCGGGAGTTCTCCGACACTACTTGCAGTGAGGGGAGAGAAAGTGGATGAATATGGGCGAAGTAGCTGAGTCCCACCACTGGCAGTGGGAATAAGAGGAATCGTGTTGCATAATGCGTGCAATATAAAGAAACACGCCTTAGTACACCGGGTCGCGAAGAGACCTATGTGTGAACTTCAGAAGGTAGTGAGAAAATGAGGAATGGTGCGCAAAAGGAACGTAATGGGCTTATACGTAAGTGCCCGACCAAGACCAGTGTCCATATGTACCAGGACTAACATTATTCTAATTTGCAATTTCACCCCCTTAACATTTCCCATAAGTTGAGAAAATTGTTATCATAGCATAATGATCGATCTGATTAGTTTGAACGCAATAATTCTCAAGGCTATATGAAATCCAATTGCTGCACTGTGGCATGTTGCGCATTGCGCTGCTCTGGACTGAGCAAAACGGTAAAAGAAGTACTGGTATACCTGATGGACACGATTCTCCCACAGACGCCATCGAGGAGCTCGAAATTAACGCAAGATACATCATTCTTGACCCAAAGTAATTCCAACGGGGGTTTGCGGCAGGCGATTAGGAACAACCGAGATCCAATTGCCCAGAGGCCATTTCTGCCAAGAGGGTTGCTTCTCGAAACTGTAAATTTGCCCCATCTACTTAATTCGTGCATCCGAATAAGTAGCTTCCAAGCGAAGGAATCCTGGGAACGCACATTGGACACGCCCAGCTGTATTATCTTCAAAAACGTTTTGTTGAGAACTTGTCCCTCAGAAGATCGCATCACATCCTCAACTCCCTTTTCGACGCGACACCAAACTTAGAGTTCGCTGGACAAAGGATCCACTCTATGCGAGTCGAGTAGCCACATGATTGTAGGATTGATGGTCATCGGCTTTTTCGCTAAAGGAGACTAGTTGATTGGGAACGCTTCACCACCAACTGAGGGGATACGGTCGGTGGTTTATCAGGGTGCATAGCAGGGCGTGGGGGTGGTTCGGTGGTTGTGCGTCTCATACAAATACCTCCCGAATTCCTGGCAAAGGAACGGCTAAAAAGGCACACACGTTTTAACGGCCATTTTAGGAACCATATACTCAAACCTTTGCGTTTCCTACTCGGGTACATGGACGATTACCGAACAAGCTGTAAAGTTGAAGGCAAACCACTTAGCTATTGGACATTCCTCATATTAACGAAGTGTCGCATCCGTTCACTTTGCAAGCCTCTTACTGCTTCCCATGCTATATGAGTATCGGATGTCTTTTTTGAAGTTGAATGATGTCAGCCCACTACATTTACTAGGAATTTTAGCCACTCTCAGCTGCCTATTATTTTGGCCCACAAAAGAATGCGCTCTGGTAAAAGCGAGCAACCAATTTTCCCACACTGGTGTATACATACATATGAATATACGGCCTTCTTGGTGCCTCTTCTGAATGACAGCAATTAACCGCGGTGTGCCCTCGGTGGGCCAGAGAATACCCTCAAGCTATGCTGTTATTACTTTGTCATGATTCCTTTGCAAATACTAACCACCAGGAACAACCCTAATGACTCACCCATGACGCTCGTGTTCGAGACTGCCTAGGATCTCAAGAATGACATCGAAAAGGCAGTTCTGGGAGTGCGATACTCAGTTTAGTGGCTTGTCCTCAGTTCATCTTTCTCCAATATCCCCCATCGAGTGTGTTACATGTGCCCTCGAGGCCTTCCCAGTCCGCTAAACTTCCGGCAGAAGCCCAAGGTGCCGTGCACCTTATTGCGACGTTTGTTCGTTCAGCCCAGTAGGCTAGTAATCACTCACATGTCACTGGTAAAAATAGAGCTTTACCGAGCATCCGATACAACGTGCGCTAACCATTATACAAGGCACTGGAAATGCACTAGCCGCGAAGAATTTCTTGCCTATGAATGGCGGAAAGTTTTCTGCGGCGATAGATAACATTATCTGCACCGGTCGCAGATGGCTGTCTTATTTTGAGTTTGCGGGACAAAGGCGATGCATTTATTGTTTAGTCTTTTTTCGAATTCTTCCTGAATCAAATAAATCAGAAGATACGGGTAGCCATCTCGACAAAATTTGCCACCATACACACTAAAAATTCACGGTATTCCGTAGCAGCCAAGAAAATGTGTTACGCGCCCAATGTACACTTTGAGTGGGCTTAACGAAGTATTAGCAAAGCTATGACCGTTTAATGGGATTTCAAGTTCGCGAATGAGAAAACTATTGGAACATTCTTTCGTTCAAACCACTCTTTCAGGGAAACATTTTAGTGCGCTCAAGGCTGCATATTTTGCTGCTCTCTGGTGTCCTAATTGTACGCAGGTTATTCCTAGTTTCCCCGATACACGCCCACATCACTTTCACCTCGCTTCACCTGACCTTATATTACTGTTCAAACTCGTCATCGCGCATTGGGTTTAGGCCACTCATGCGCTTTTCTTTATAAAGTGAACACTGTGTTATAGGTCGCTTTGAATATACGTGGATTTAACGTTTCTTCACCAGGCACATGCGCAGGAAAATAAAGAGAACACAGACGGGTTGATGTACATGTTTTCGGCAAGGTCTTTTCAAGTCATGCAATTGCAAAGGTTAAGAGAGCGGTATTTAACATATCTAAATGAGTATGGTGTAAATGGACAGGGAATCGAGTGAGATGACATTGGCTACCTATCAAAGAACCATTAGTTCAGGTCGCCAATAGGATGACTTGAGCTAGTCAGCTCAGGGGTTGTTGTAGTTGTGTGTTCAGCACACGATGCATGTGTGGGGGGAGGTGAGTTGGACCATGGTTATTAAAACACACGTGTGGTTATCGCCAAACGAATTCGCCGGCCGATCATTTTTCGGCAAAAACGCTTTGTTCGTGTGTTGTACTTACCATGGTCCAACTCACCTCCCCCCACACATGCATCGTGTGCTGAACACACAACTACAACAACCCGTGAGCTGACTAGCTCAAGTCATCCTATTGGCGACCTGAACTAATGGTTCTTTGATAGGTAGCCAATGTCATCTCACTCGATTCCCTGTCCATTTACACCAAACTCATTTAGACATGTTAAATACCGCTCTCTTAACCTTTGCAATTGCATGACTTGAAAAGACCTTGCCGAAAACATGTACATCAACCCATCTGTGTTCTTATCATAAACGGGAATTTTCGGAATATTACGTACCCGCAAAGAACCCCAGGTGCTCAAGGAGCTTAATCGTTATTTTAGCTTAAGCACCAGACTTGCAGTGACAAACACGTATTTGGATTTCCTCGCGGAATGCATAGAGAGCAACCAGTACCCGAAAAAGTATTTGAAAACCTTGAGACGAAGCCGTGTGCGCCCTGACTCAATCTCACTGAGACGACACGCTCGGAGCCACATAGACAACTACCGCACCCAAACAGCAGAGCTACAGAGACTAATCAGCCTGAGACAGACGTATGTTGATGACCTAACGAATGACGAACGTACGGAGTTTACTCGGTACTTATGTAAAATTTCCGAAAAAGGATCAACTAAGAAACAAACTGTACTGAATGCAGGCCTCGAGGACTAAAATCTACAGTCCCGTTTTCCAACAAACCCCGAAAGGTATGTTCATAATTTATCCGTTGTGTCCCTTGACTCCACTCTGATCGAAGCTCTATCGCTAGGGCCAAAATTCTGTATCCCTCGCCACAACGATAGTCGCCCTAGTATCGAGACACAATTTGAAAGTCTCCATGATCAACTCCGACAACTATCTCGAATTAGTCCTACCAACCT